GTATAATAATAATAGATATGAATATATTCTCTGAAGAGGATCACTTTTGAGAATGTTCTATTTAAATCAATTGTCAATTTGTATATATTTGGTGATTTTCCTTTAAAGCCAGATATGCTTCTTTGTACAAATAGGATGATTTAAAACACACATGTTTTTAGTCTTAACTATTTTGGGGAAAGTACAAACTCAGAAATGCTAATAGGTTACTGAATTATATTGAGTAAATTTAAAGAATCCAGATGGTATGGAATTTAACCCAAACATTCAGATGAAATGTTAGGAGTCCTTGTCCAGCACCTGGATGCTTGGATAGTTCAGTGGTCGACTGCTCTGTATTTACAAATCAGAACCAGATACTTGACATTAAGTAGGCCAGATGTCCAGGTGATTAGCAGAATTGTGAAGCATGTTTTAAATGTGCTGATGGTATATGGATCTGCTCACTACAAATTTTTAAAGTAAATTTAGGATCTGCATTCCAACAGTCATTTGAACAAGAAAACTGTAACCGAGATTATTCAATTTGATCTAACAGGAAAAAGGAAGCTGATAAACAAATTTAATTAATATAATTTTCTATTTTTCATAATCATTGCCAAGAGAGACTATATTAACGCTTGGTGTTTAATGACAAGTATCAGAAGAAAACTTGAAGCTACAAGAAACCACAGGAATTTAGAAAGCCTTATGTTGTAGACAGTCAATTATACACCATTGTAAATTCTGTGCCTCTAACTTAGCTATTTAACATTTGTTGAATTCAATACTGCTTTTTGCTTTAACAGTATAATTCCTCTTATGAGAAAAATCTCCACCCCATTTGTGAAACCACTTTTTCTTTGGTGTCTAGGCACAGTATATCTTTTTACACCAGTGCATTCTGGATCTCTTATCAAATAAGGGAAGTAATCAGCCCATCTGTTTTGTTAACTATTCAGCACTTCAGAAGATGGACTCTTTGGATGCCATGGAAGGTAAACAGAAACAATGTGTACCCAATTTACTAGTTTACCACCTATAGCAGGAACATTCATTTCATAATAACCATATGTTAAAAATGTTTTAGAAGCTGGGTTAGTGCATGGATCAATTTTTTTCATTTCTCTCTAATCCAAGTCAGCCTTTCTGTCTGCCTTATATATTTGCCATGAAACATTTAAACCTTTTGAACTGTCATCTTCAACACTTGTAATGTGTTACTTTATTTTATAGGTGATGTTGAGCTTGAATGGGAAGAAACCACCATGTAAATATTTAAACTGAAGAATACAACTGGAAGATATTTTTAAATCCCAGGGGCCAAAATTACCCCCTCATTCTTGTGAATTGAAATGTGCAACCTTAAAGAAATCTTTATGCTTCCCTCACTGTGCCTTACCAAATGGATTGACCATTTTATGAATAGTTTTAGAAAATAGCTAATTCAGAATAGTTATTTGTTTTGTACAGAATAAATATTACACATTTAAAATGTTTAAGAAAAGAAATCCCATAGGTTTTTGAAGTCCTCCATACTTATGGAATAAGCCAAATATAAAATTACTATACTAGCATTAATGTTTTAATGTGAATTTGCCCTATGTATTGGATTTAATTTTGAACAAAAGTTGTAAATGTTGATTCAGTAGTGTTATTTTGGCCTCCAGGGTGTTGACGTATCTTGTGGATAACTTCCAGGACTGTCATAATGATCTGTACTTCCATGTACACTCCTGTGTTTTGAATCTTCTGTTTTATGAGTGCTGAGATATCATCTCATGATCCTGAACAGCTGAACAGTAACCCTCTGACACTGCAGGGATTACTTAGCCTTTATACAACGCACAGTAGCTCTTTGGGGACACTTAGGGCTATTTAAACTGCATTGTGATCACATTGAAAAAATAAATGGAAAAATTAAAAGTGCAATTACACATATAAAGTTGTAGAGTACCTTTCTAGCCTGCCTACATTTGTACACTTTCAGGGACAAGTTGTACCACTGTATCGTAAGTTCAAATACATAGTTAAATGTATCATAGTATTTGTCCATTAGATATATATTCAACTTGATATTAACAATTTTGAAGGATTTCTTCAGCAGAAATGTATAAAAACAATAACAATAACATGTAGTGTGTTGCAAGCTTGCAAACTAATGATGTGCTGCTGTGGTGCCAACAGAGAATTCCGAAGAGATTATATTAAATGGTCGTTATTTCATTTATTGAGATTGATTATTGAGGAGTGTATTTGGTGGAACCGAAAACAAAGAAATTAACCAGGTTGTAGCAAATTAGAGATTTTTTTTTAAAGAAAATCTTTTAGGCTCTATCTTATTAAATAGTAACAATGTACTAAGTTTTGAATTATATGAAATTATTTTGTCAGATTTCAATTAATGGTGATAAGAAGAAATAGTATTAATTATTCTATTTCTTCTATGATATGCTCATTTCTGCTGGAATATACATAAAAATATGATGACTAATAAAATTGAATTTTAATGAATTACTTTGTAACATGATTTCAGAAGTACCTATATAAATAAAAATTTGATTTTGTACCCATATTAACATATAATTAATAATTATATATCTTAATATAGAATAAAAACTTTACATATAAATATGATATAATGATGTAATATAATTTACATGTTAATAATATAAATAATTAAGATATAATCATTTCCCAAAACATCCATAGATAGTAAGTAATTTTATTATGGAATTTACCACCAAGAAATGAAATCTTTTAGTCTCATAAGCAGTCTCTTGAAAAGTGTTACGTTTGCTTCCTGTTTTTTCATGGCAAGGAAGTATAAATAAATACGATCTAATACTGTTCCAACCAATAGGTTTACACTACAGAAAGTTACAGAAAACAATAAAAAATGATGACAACTCTGAAAGATTCAAGTTGGAGTTATAAATTCTTCAGTTCCCTTCATGTGAGTCACTGAAAATATATAGCAAGCCAGCATGGGTTTTTGTATTTACGAAAGACAGATATAACATAGCCTACAGAAAGTATTGGTGAGGTTACTTTTTAATGTATTAAATGATTTAAAGAAATTGTTCCATCTACAGGCCAATACATTTTCTATAATATCTGTATAAACCAGATGTATAGAACATAAAGTTTTAGGTTTGACTCATGTACATTTGCAAATGTGTGTGCATAAAGCAGAGTTGTAACATTAGGTCTGCTCTAAAACAGTGCTTTATTAAAGTTTATACAAATCACTGGGGGATTGTGTTAAAATGCAGATTTTGCTTCAGTAACAATAGAATAGTCCTTTCTAGCAAGTACTCAAGTTATAATATTACTGCCTGATCTCAGGTTATACATTGAAAAATACATGAATTTCTAAAAGACATTAGTCAGGATCAGAATAATTTTAGATTTACCTGAAATTATTTAAAATATGTTTTTAAAAAGATTTGGCTTCATTACAAAAAATCATAACGGAGCACTTATTAAATACGTACGGCTCACTAGCTGTATCAAGAAACTGTAACCGAAATTAAATTGAAACTCATACATTAATGATAACTAGATTTTCTTTTCATTATAATATGAAATGGCCAATTTATAGCCAACTTCTATAGGTGGCTACTAAGTGCTAATTAAAATAATGAGGAACATCTGTAACATGTTTAGATCTGATTTGTCAAAATAAGTTGACGCACATGTACAATAAATGAGCAACATGTGTTTCATATGAACCAAATGAAACTGGAGCCTCTTAGAATGGTTTGCCAGAGACGGGAGCAGCTGTGGGTATCACCTCTACTTTTAACCTGCTTTAAAACTCATAATTTTCTTCTTTCAGTTTATAGGTGAAATGTATAATAAGTCTTTCGCAGAAAAACTAATTAAACTTTCACCTCTTCATAACGGAGATGGTGATTTACTCCACATATTGTACCAAAAACTAGTTTTTAAAAATGAAATTTAAGTTCTACAAAGTATTCTGTTAAGTCCACACCATTATTATGATAATCAAGCCCATTTTCATTGACCAACTTTTAGAAAGTTCCTAGTGAAATTTTTAAATGAGTCTAGGACATAAAATGATCTGAAATTCTCAACTGAATATTAAAAAGTGAAAATATGAAGAAAAAACTTTATAAAGCATAATCTTGGCAAAACAGCTTGCCTTCTTAGGACAAGTACTATTTCATGGTAAATGACTTCATGAATACAGTTTCAACGTGGACTGGTACACCCACCAGGTTATGGAGGTGTTCTGAGGAACAGATTTGATCACACATATGAAAATGTTTTGAAAAATATGATGAACTTTACAAAGTTAAGATAATGTTGGCCAGGCATGATGGCTCACACCTGTAATCCCAGCACTTTAGGAGGCCAAGATGAGAGGATCGCTTAAGGCCAGGAGACGAAGATAAGCAAGATCCCCATCTCTACAAAAACAAACAAATAAAATAGCTAGACATGGTGTTGCGCACCTGTAGTCCCACCTACTCAGGAGGCTGAGGCAGGAGGATCGTTTCACTTAAGCCCAGGAGTTTCAGGCTGCAGTGAGCTGTTATCATGCTACTGCACTCCAGCCTGGGTAACAGAGTGAGACCCTGTCTCTAAAAAGGAAAAAAAATATATAATCTCTTACCAAGGCTGGTCAATGTGTAATGTTTATTAGTAGGATAATGAAATAATGTATCCCATTTTTGGACTGTATGATACTTTGCGATATTAGTGCTATATTTGTATGTCTCACATGCACAAACTGAAGAGAAAATTATGGCAGATATATTAGGTTCTGCTAAATAAGACCATTGATACTTTTTTAAATGAATAAGTGCATTCTCAAGGAATTTTTTGATTAAAATGAACATATAGACATGTACACAAAATATGATTTGGCAAACAAGTCCAGAAATTTTTTATTTCAGATGATTCAACTGGACAGTCTGAATTAGTGTCTTCAGTATTGTCTTTTGAAAATAAAACTCATTTTATAGAAGGTAGTGAAAAGCATTATTCTCCTCTGTTAATAAGATTATATTTCTAAAGTCACAACCATAGGTTTTTAAAATATTCATTAAAAGTATTGTTGGATTGGGAAGTCATTTTAGTAAATTATAAACCTTTTAGCATACTTATATATCCATCATCCCTATTAATCCTTACAAAATTCTTTAAGATCAGCAAGGTCCTATATTACAAGAAAGATAGTGAAAGCTTAATTGCAGTACCCCAAATCACATTTATTAGTAAGCATGGAAGCTGAAGTTAAAACTGCATTTCTGTGACTCCCAAAAAGTACTTTTTCCATAACCCTATGCAGGTCTCTCCATAAGCCATGCAAATGACATGCCTTGTATAATGTAAAGTGTTTATTATAAAGAAAGATTATAATCATCATATGTCCCAATTCCCAAGTAGATATTCTCTGCTAATCACATGAAAATAAGCGACAGAATCCACAAATATTTTCAGAGGTAAATAAGCTCTTTTATTTTCTGTTTTTAGAGGCGGACTCTCCCTCTGTCACCCAAGCTGCAGTGCAGTGCAGTGGTGTAATAACAGCTCACTGCAACCTCAAACTCCTGGGCTCAAGAGATCTTCCTGCCACAGTCTCACAAGTAGCTAGGACTATAGGCATGTGCCACCATGCCCAGCTAATTTTAACTTTTTAATTTTTTTAGAGAATGGGTCTCACTTTGTTGCCCAGGCTGATCTTGAATTCCTGGCCTCAAGAGATCCTCCTGCCTCAGCCTCCCAAAGTTCTGGGATTACAGGCATGAGCAAGCCACTGCACCAGCCCTTTAATAAGCTCTTAGAATGAATTTAAGGGAGTAAAAATGAAATTCTTTGATGAATACAGTAATTTTAAAAAGGAAGGTGAAAGAACTAAAACAAAGATTAAAATATTGAAAATGAAGAAAAAACCTCTGGAATTTAGGAATTCATAGAATTATGAAAATAAAGCTGAAAGAAAAGGTTTTTAAAGTCAAAATCTTCATAGCATTTCTATATACATATCATATGTGCATGGGTACATATAATCAAATACTATCAACCACTTTAGTAATAACAAAACAAGGGGGAAGAGTAAGAAAAGGAGAGAAGAAAGAGGAGAAAAAGGAGAACTAGAAGAAGATATAGAAGAAAGAAAAGTAGAAGAAACATTGCTGTGATTGAATATTTAAAACTTTAAAGTGTGCCTGGCACTGTGCTACACCATAACATGGGTTGGAATGTTATCTAATGAAAGTCTCACCTCTGAGATAAACTACATTAGGATAGTAGGAAATGGAAACATGAGGGATTGGGAAGACTGCCCACGATCTCACAGAGTAATTGCTAGTCCTGGAATTTAAATCCACATCTATCTGGTTAGAGCTCAAGTTTTTTTTTGTAGGTATGCACCCATCCAAATTTTATGTTGAAAAGCAGCAGAAGCCTGGGAATAAACAAGTCTCAAAAAGACAACTGTCTTTAACCCTATTTTGTACTCACTCCCAATTTAAAGCTTTTTAACATGTGCAATGGGATTGTAGGGAATTTGGACATGTAAAGAGTGTCTATGTAAGTGAGTTTTCCAATTAATTTGTCTTTCTATTGTTTATCCTTTTTCCTTCTTGCCCTTATTAATTCTTCTATTATAATTAAATTTGCATAAATATGTATTTTTAAAATCTGCAGCCAGATTGGATGTGAATCCTATCTATGTTTATTAATTTTTTGAACTTAGGCAAAAAGCAGCAACCAGTGCATACATCAATTTCCTCATCCCTAAAATGGAGATGATTATAACAGCTACCTCACATGTTTATTAAACAGTCCTAAACCCTCAATAAGGTTTGGATTGTAATGTACATAATGATAATAATGATAGTGGTTATGATAGTTTTTCTGTAAGGA